CAATTAAGTCTCATCCTTTTTCTGTGACTGTTCCTAAGTGCTTCAAAAACTCTTATTCTTCTAGTTTTTTTCCTCGAACATCAGTTCTTTGGAATTCGGTTCCTTCATCTTGCTTTCCTGATTCATATAATTTGCAATCTTTTAAGTCATCAGTCAATCGTTATCTTGCTCTACAGATTTAGTCTTTTCTCTTCCAGTAACTTCCAACTCTTATAGTGGTTGCTTGCAGCCTTGTTGGAAGTGAAGATGTTAAAAAAAAAAAAAAAAAAAAAAAAAAAAAAAAAATATATATATATATATATATATATATATATATATATATCTGGTCTTTTTTAGTCTTTGATTTTTTTCTTTGACTTTGGTTTTTCAACCAAAAAAAAGGTACTTTTCCCACTTTTATTATAAATTTTGGTTTCACCATGGCAAAGTTACTTACAATACTTTTGTCCATTAATTATATATGGTATAAAACAAATGTGTAACATAAATACACATTGATAATACCTCTGCTAAAAAAAATGTAATATCTGAGTGCCTTATATATTAAATTAACAAGAATTTTTTTAATTAAAGTCTCTAATTTTATCTTATTTTAAGTTCACCATACAATTTGCAGTTTGTAAGGGTTTATTTTGTACTTTTTAAGGGTTCTTGTGGGGATATTTATGTCTTTTTGTTTATAATAAGTTTACAATAATGTTTGTACAAATTTTGAGCAAATCTGATGAACAACTCAAAAATTATTAGCCAAAAACTTGCTTGCATTATTTAAGGGGTAACAACCATAAAAAGCAACTTTACTTTGAATCGCAAAACTTTACCAAGAACTATAGATTGAAAAATATGGCCAGGGAATCATATTAAGTAGTTGTTAATTACAGGAGTTTTCAGTATTCAGTTATAGGGTACCTTTTTTTTTTGTAGTTTTTTTTTGGTAGTTTTTAAGATGTACCTACCTATAAGAACATTCTTTATTTAAAGACACATCAGAACAGACTAGGCAACAAACTTTATTGTTCTTATATTTTAGTTTGCAACCTATGTTGTCCAAAGAAACTTTATATTTGTTGCTGCTCATATTTAATGATAGACTGATCGTACTGTATATGTCACCATTTGTAGGAAATTGTCTGTTAGGTAACTAAGTAAAAAGTTTTACAGATAAAGGAAACGTTTTCACTTTTTTTTGTTTGTTTGTTGATATTTTACTGTTTTTTTTACTCATCATCTTTCTGTTTGTTCTTCTCATGTGAAGGTAAGGAGGTTGGTAGGGAGAAAATAATAAGTTGTTAAATTGATTTTTTATACAAACATTTGATAAAAATTTTTAATTAAAGGTAAAACTTATAAAAATCAGTAGAAAAATTCTGTCTTCCTTCAATTAATAAAACACTGGTATAAAAGCGTTACATTACTTGCTTTAACATGAAACACATTTTTATGTTTTGTACTAACATAAACTTTAAAAAAGTTGTTGCTGCTATTTTTCTAGAATGGAATGTAAACTATTTTAACCAAGCACATGTGGATATGCAATTTAAACAGAAACATGCGCAAATTTAATATTAATAGAAAATTACTATACAAACGCATTGTGAACAGAAAATTACTATTAGAAAATTAAAACTTCAGAATATATGATGAATTAGCAGCATATAGTTTTAAAAATGAAAAAGAGGACAGTTGACCACTGTTGTAGTGAAAAAAGAGGACAGTTGACCACTTTTGTAATGAAAAAAGAGTACAGACCATTGACCAAAATCAGGACAGTTGACCACTGTTGTACTGAAACAAGGACAGTTGACTACTTTTGTAGTGAAAAAAGAGGACAGTTGACCACTGTTGTAGTGAAAATCAGTTATTAAAGTTAAAATAGTTTTGAAAATTTAAATTTTTAGTTAAATTTTATTGTTTTATAATAATCTTTTATTTCTTAACAATAAATAAAAAAACGTGAATTAAATATGAACTTAATTTTTAAAAATTTATTTTAATAACTAAAAAATATCAAGAATTGTGAAAACTGAAAGCTGTATCAAAAAAAATAGGTTTACCTTTTTTTTTTTTTCTCAATCTCTTTCATTAAAAATTTTTTTTTAAATTTTAATAGTCTTTTTTTTATTTATTTTTCTCTTCAGTTTAGTTGAACTTCAGTTCTTTCAGCACATTTTTTAAACACTTAAAGCATGTAAACAGCTGTTGTCACGTTGTCTAAAGAAAACAATTATGTGTGGACAGACAAGGCGTATGACTACACGTGTTTTCTGCAACATCCTTGCATTTATATATATATATATATATATATATATATATATATATATATATATATATATATATATATATATATATATATATATATATATATATATATATATATATATATACATACATACATACATACATACATACATACATATATATACAGGCCCATCCAGAGTGATGTTGTTATGCTCGGGTCCAATGTTTAATATCGATAATGGATGCCGTATCATCCAAGTCCATCCGTAACTCCATTCATAACTCTAAGTCTTAAAATAGTAAATAACAAACAAATCGGTATAATTCTTTTTTGAGGTGAAAGTATAATTTCAATCAAAAGAATCATTAAGTAGCAGTATCTGCTCCTGGTTTATTGTGGAATGAAGAGAGTCCTTGATAATAGCTAGCTTACTGAAAGATCTTTTACCTTCAGAGGTTAAAACTGGCAATGTCAGAAATATTCTAAATAAAACGCTCACTTAGGGAAGTATTGAATGTAGTCCTTTTGCATAAATTTCATTCAGAAATTCAATAGGCTTTTTGCTCATTGGAATTGGAATGTTTCTTCTAAATGAAAAAAAGTGGTGCACTTCCTCAGAAAATTAATTTTAACTTAAGTCTGCTGGTTATAGTTTGGCAAGGTTTTCAACTTTTAAATGTAGCTCTTCATCTGTGAGAGGTTTCTGTGAAGACCAACAAAAAGAAAACTTGCTGCATTTCTTTTAATTTACTTTAAATTTTGTCTTTCCTTAAGTAGTAAGATTGTCCAGTGCAACATTGAATACATTACATTACACCTGCAATTTCATCAGGAAGTATCTTCTTTTTTTTTTGCATTCTCTTCTCAATAAATATGATTTTATCAGATTGTAAGTTCGCAACATCTATTGCCTCTACAAAAATCAGGTCCCATGACAAATATGGATTTGATTCAGATCTATCAAAAAGCCATTTAAATCTTTATTTCATCATTGAGTGAATGGATTGAAAAAGGCTCACATATATAACTGCCATCAAGCATTTAAACCAAAAAGTAGAGAAAACAATAAACTCCTAGCAGTTCATTCAATCAAATAATGCGTTTTATTATTACTTTCATCCAGAAATTCTTTTAGATGATAACTTTAAAGCAATAGAGCATCAGAGCTTATGAACAGAACAAATTGTTTCAATTGCTTTCCCCCCCTCCCTCCTACCATCCTACCTTAGCGGCTCTATATATATATATATATATATATATATATATATATATATATATATATATATATATATATATATATATATATATATATATATATATATATATATATATATATACATATATATATATATATATATATATTTATATATATATATATATATATTTATATATATATATATATATATATATATATATATATATATACATACATCTATATATATATATATATATATATATATATATATATATATATATATATATATATATATATATATATATATATATATATATATATACCCATATAGTGTAGTCGAAAGAGCGTTTTAATGTAAAAAAAGTCTCTTACGACTACAATTTTAATTACCTCGTCTCTTAAGCTGTTTTTGATTGTCATCGAAATGTCAAAGCAATTAATTTATGCGGAAGTACATTAAATTTAATTGTTTTTTAAAAAATTTTTAAAAAACCGCAATTATAACGACTAGAAAGTTTTTTTTAATTAGTGGTGTTTTTGTTATTGATTTAATAAAAAACATTTTTAAAACATGCGTAAATGTTGCTACATCGACTATCTTATAGCCTGACTCGCAACGGAGTGCTGCTACATCGACTGACAAATAGCCTGACTCGCAACGGAGTGCTGCTACATCGACTGACAAATAGCCTGACTCGCAATGGAGTGCTGCTACATCGACTGACAAATAGCCTGACTCGCAACGGAGTGCTGCTACATCGACTGACAAATAGCCTGACTCGCAACGGAGTGCTGCTACATCGACTGACAAATAGCCTGACTCGCAACGGAGTGCTGCTACATCGACTGACAAATAGCCTGACTCGCAAGGGAATGCTGCTACATCGACTGACAAATAGCCTGACTCGCAAGGGAGTGCTGCTACAATGACTGACAAATAGCCTGACTCGCAAAAGAGTGCTGCTACATCGACTGAAGGTTTGGTTTGGCCAGGCAGTCTATCAATTAAAAAAAAAAATTTAATTTTTAAGAGTCAGGCTATAAGATAGTCGATGTAGCAAGATTTACGCATGTTTCAAAAATGTTTTTTAATAAAATAAAAACAAAAACATCACTAATAAAAAAAACTTTCTAGTCGTTATAATTGCGGTTTTTTAAAAAATTTTTAAAAAACAATAAAATTTAATATACTTCCGCATTAATTTAATTGCTTTGACATTTCGACGACAATTAAATACAGCTTAAGAGACGAGGTAATTAAAATTGTAGTCGTAAGAGACTTTTTTTACATTAAAATGCTCTTTCGACTACATTATATGGATATATATATATATATATATATATATATATATATATATATATATATATATATATATATATATATATATGTATATATATATATATATATATATATATATATATATATATATATATATATATATATATATATATATATATATATATATATATATATATATATATATATATATATATATATATATATATATATATATATATATATATATATATATATATATATATATATATATATATATATATATATAGATTGACAAGATGGATACAGCTTATATTCAAGACACTATTACATTTGAACTTGATCTTATAAAAGAAGGTTTTTATTTTAATTTTTGTTTTTATTTTATGTTTGTGTAGTATTTAATGCTAATTTTTGAATTAATAAAAGAAAAAATAAGCTGCTTAAAAGTACATGATACTCTTTTTTGTCTGCCTATTATGAATAGGCAGACAAAAAAATTAGGGAATTATCATTAAACAAAAAAATTTGAAACATCAATTAGATTAGATTTTTCTATTTTCTCATTTATTTGTTTCAGTTTTTTTATTTTGACCTTTTTATGTATTTTTACTCTTACTTTATGAATTATATTTTTTATATTTCATATGCCATTTCTTTTTTTTTTATATTTCATATGTCCATGAATTTCAAAAATAAATATATATAAACTTTGATTTTTTTTTATTAAAGTTTTTGTTTAATTCTTACATATATTAAAATTAATCTGAATGAACGTAGGATTTATTGCGAACATTTATTGTTTTGTAGTGATTTTAAATCTTCAAAACATTCGTGTAATCTTATAGGTGACCCAAAGATTATTTGTACAAATAAAAGTCTCTAAATAGGTTTTTAAAACATTTGAAGGTCTTGACCAAGCAAACATTAACATTTTATAAGTGATTCTCACAATTGTTATGCTAACATATATGATTTGTGCTATTGCTAGAAATAAATTTCTAGCTATAGAATAATGGATTTATATACATAAAGGATTTTCACATATTGTTACCATTAAGAAAAAGTCAAAACTTGAATAATAAAAAAAAACTAACCACATTGACTCTGGGTAAAACCAACCACTTTCTGTCTTTGGGTAAAACTGACCACACTCTGTCTCTGGGTAGAAAATGTGCTTCTGTAGAACTTTTTTATCAGTGAAATTTTGAGTTTATAATCAAAAATTCAAAAGTAAAAAAAAAGGATTAGGAAAATTATAAAAATTAAGGTAAGATGCCAATTCATCCATATGTCCAAACCCTTCATTACCTGTGCACAGCAATGCTAGTTCATCAAAAACATTCTCCTTCAGTAAGTCCGGTACTAAATGATCCCGTGCTCACTAAGATATCGGTTCTTCAGCTACTACTTCTATTTTTTCTTTCAATACTGGCATAACAATAGCTTCCATTTCAGCTCTAATGGCGGAGTATGTTTTATTTTGAATAGGGTCTTCAAAAAATTTCAAAAGCTTATAACGTGGATCTAACACAGATGCTCTTTGTCCAGTTAGTACACTGAATCCTTTTGGATAATATTGCTTTGTTATTTCAGTAGCAATGACATTTCTGCAATTATTGGCAGCAGTGTATTTGTCTGGTTTTGCTGCTCGAACATTTATTAGAACAATAGACAACAGTAGATAAACTAATGACAACAAAGGATATTTCTGACCAGATGACATAGTTGTTACCTGCTTTGATGGTTTCAGAATGGGTATAATGGCTTGCACAAGCAACCAGTTTTCATCCGTAATTTGTAGAGTTGACGCATTTATTTTTGTCGTAAAATTTTGGTCAAACAACACGGCTCTAATCACCTAACATAGCTTCACTAATCATTCTAACATGTCTTACATGGAATTCCATCGAGTAGAGCAGTCTATGATGACTTGCAATGTTTTTTCATTGTCCTTAGATCTCAGTGCTGCTTGTTTGTTATGCAATTCCTGCATTGCTGTTGTACTTCGCTTAAAGTGTGCTGCCGATTGCTTTGCAACCCAAATCATATTCAATTGCTGGAAGTTTCAGACCAGCTCCAATGGCTAACTGTAGCATGTGAGTAAAACAGCGCTGATCCAGCCATTCATCAAAAAAGTCTAATATTGCTTGGTTTATATTTGAGCTGTTATCATGGACTGTAGCAGTGATTTTCTGAACAGGATTTCCCCACTTGTCAGCAGCATCCTGCAAACGAATACTGATGTTTTCTCCAGTGTGCCGTTCTGGACATTCTTGTGTCTGCAAGATTGCAAATTCTAGCTCCCATTCCATGTTGGCGGTCTTGTATCTTTTCTTTATCATTTTTGTGGTAGTGTAACGAGTTTTAATAACATAGTCTGGATCTGTATATTTCAACAAGCTAAGGAATCCATCACCTTCATCTAAACTTATTGGGTTTGCATCACAAGCAATGAAGTCTGCTATTTTCTGATCCAAAACTAGTTCTCTTTCTTTCGTCATTTTAGGCCGCGAAGCTGTAAAGAAAGACAAAATATTTGGTGTGCCCAAACTGCTAATGCCATCAATGTCTATATGTGTTCCAGTAAGATGTTGTCAGATAGTGCTTGTGTTGCCACCTTTCACTGTCAAAGTTGCCTCATATTGCTTGCACTTCACGCTGTTCTTATCGATTTGGTCTGCATAAGATCACACTTTTGATACATTTCTTTTTTCTATAAAGTTAGTGTTTTAAAATGTTTTTAAAACTTAATTTAAATATTTTTAAAAGTAAAGCAAAGAAAGAACTTTTACAAAACTTTAATTGGTTACAAATTGATGAGATTTTGTTATTACATTTTATTTATTTACAATAAAGTTACTACGCGCACTTAAAAAAACTTCTTTTTACTAAATTTAAAAAAAAAACCCTTTTTAATAAGAAACTGAAAACATTTTATATATAATTTGCTTAACTGAAACTTGGGTTTCTTTCAAAGATCTTCAAGATAATTCTACTCTCCATCTTCTAGGTTTTCATAAAATTTTATCCTAGAGACATACTAAAAAACAAGTTGGAGGAGTTCTGATTTACTTAAAAGTTAAATTGTTTTATTTCAATTAATGATTGAAAACTTAAAAAAAATTAGAATTGATAATTTGTAAATTAAAATATTTTGTTTTTTTTCATGGACAACAGTTACCCATCATTTGATAATGCTGCCCGGGCAGTAACCAATGGGCAGGTTGCCTGGGTACCCATTCACAGCCTTAGTTCTGATTACTGCTATATAACTTCGTTTAATAAGTTTGGGAGTAATAACCACAGGTAAGATTTAATTATTCATCAACTCATTTTTAAAAAAGATTTGTTTAAAAGCTCCTTTAACGTTTCTATAACATTTTTTATCTTTGTCAAGAGTCACCCATTTATTTAGGACTTTAAAATGCTTTTCTAAAGTTGCTATGTCTTTTTTTGTAGAATGATTGTTTGTTTAGATTTGTTAATTTTCAATTTTTTTCTCAAAGTTATAGAATATAATAAAACTTGTAATTGTGATTGTATATGGTTGTATACAATTGGGTTTTTAGTTGGGTTATTTTTTAAAAATAATTTTATTTTTTCTATCAGCTTATCATTTTTGTTTAGTTTTTGTTTAGTTTTCTGTCAAAATATTTTTGGTTTTGGTCCACTTTTTCCATTAGCATTTTTGTTTCTAAATTTTATCCATTTAAATAAATAATACCTTTTTAAAATGTATGATTTTTATTTTTGTTGTTTGTTTTAATTTAATATATACCATAAAAAAGTTCAGTCACTTATGCTTTGAAAATTCATATCTAAGGCATAAATAAATATTTTTTGATTTTTTTTCTGAACTATACAAGAAAACTGTTTCTTTATTTTATTTTTGGAAAAATAAAATAATAAAAGTAAAAACTTATGAATTCAATATTTTATTTCAAATGAGAACAGCTAGTTTGAATGAACTTTCAATAAAATATTATAAGTTTACTCACTATATATTATATTATATATTCCTATCAACACATCACAGTTTTACATATTTGCCATCAAAATTTAACATCAAAAGTTACAAAAACTAGTTTTATAATGCTATTTTATAATAAATTATGAAACAATATCACAATCAATTTTTAAAAAAGTTTTTTTTAATTAACAACTTTGGTAACATATTAAATTGTTAAAAAGCTTGAATCAAAAATTATTTTCAGCAAACAACTTTATTTAGATATTTATTTATTTAGATGACTTTCAATATTTATTATTAATTTTATCATAACTTTCAGAGTTTGCTTTTTTTAAGTTTTAATAATGTGCTAAATTTGATCATTTTAGCTTTAGCAGGTACAAGATAATTTTTTGTTGATGAAGAGCATTTATTCTTAACTGTTTCAAAGTTCTAGATACCTTTTTGATAGAGAGCGGTCTTTCTATTAATATTTTCTCGTCTCCTCAATTTAGGTGGGGTTTGCTGGGTATTTTCATTCCTGTAAATCTAGAAAAGTGTTTACTACTTGTTTGCTAAAAACTAAGTGCTAAAAGCATAAAATTGTAAAACTGAAGTTTACTTATACTTCAATTTTATTTTTTTCTGCACATCTAAAAGTGAATTATAAGATATAGAAAATACTGAAAACGGCATAGGCATGACTGGCCTATTATTTTTGGAAAAAATGAAGCTGGAAAAAGTTTTTAATGTTTGTAAATATTTAAATGATTACTTACTTAAAACAAAAACATATTAATAAGCTTGATTCTACTAACAATTTTTTTCATGAAAGTTCAATGATTAATAACAATTTTATAGTGAAGTTGGCATATAAATTGTTTAATCTAAATAATAATGATTTATTCAATATTAATTGTTGATTTGTTTTTTTTTAGATGGTATTTTTAGAACACAATAACCATATTTACATACAAATTTATATACATATATATCTATGATATTATATTTACTAAAATATATATCTATGTTTATGTATATTATACATGTTTGTTATATTGTATATTTAAAAAAAAAAAGTTATTATATTTAAATAAAATGTGTAAAACTAGTAGTATCAACAGTTGATATTATATAACAGTTATATATTGATTTAAATGTTAATATAACAGTTGATATATTGACCATCAGGGTTGATAGTCAGTTAAAGTATCTACTGAAGCTATTCAAGTCATAAATATTTTTAATTTTATGTATTAGGTTTTATCTTGCCTGGTTCGTCAATCCTAACAAATTATGTAAAGGATATCAATGTTCATTTTGCAAATAAAATGGTAAAAAATATGTTACATGTTATTATTTAAAATGTGTAAAAATACTTTGTACTTATTATGACTAAAACTTGTTTTTATTTTGTTAAAAAATTGCTTTAACCTTTTTTATGTCATGACAGCATAAAAATAAAATAAACAAAAAATGACAAAACAATTACTTTGCTGTTATTTCATTTCAAACTTCCAACAAAGCTGCAAGCAACCACTATTAGAGTTAAAAATTACTGGAAAAAATTGTGTTATTTCTGAGTTAAAGTTAACCAGTCAATGCTGTAGCAGAAGTGATATCCTTTTCAAGTTTAGATGCCCTCTTCAAGCAATCAGAGAGTGTTGGCTTCTTAGCAAGACAAGAATAAATGGTAGTATCATCAGCAAGTAATGCCACTTTAGATGTGAGAATTTCTAAGAGATCATTAGTGTAAATTAAAAAAAGTATAGAGTTAAGGGTAACACCTTGATGAACCCCTGAAGTTACAGAAAAAAAAAATTGCTGTCCATCAAGGACAACTTTTATACTACAATTGGTAAGAAAGGATTTAATAATCTTAAAGATGTTACCTGATACATCGTAAGAAAAGAGCTTATGGAGAAGACCAACAAGCCAAACTTTATCAAAGGCTTCAGAAAAGTTGGGAGCAGTAGCCCTAACTTCCACACATCTATCTAATGCATGATAAAATCTATCTGTTATTACCATTAACAAACCAGTAGTAGAACAAGAAGATCGAAATCTGTATTTATGATCAGAAAGTAAGTTATTAGATTTAAGATAAGAGATTAAATGTTTGTTAATTAAAGGCTCAAAAACTTTGTTTATGATAGTAAGCAAGGTTTTAAGACTAATAGGATAGTAGTTGGAAAAGTCAGATCCCTCTTCAGAATTTTTGAAAATAGGGATAACAGATGCTGCTTTACAGCCAACTGGAAAGAGCTGGAAAACAAGACTTGGATAAGAACTTGTTCAATAGTTTTGAAAGTATAGACAACAGCTCCGAAGAACACTTCTGCAAGACTATATGTATGTTGTCTGGACCACAAGCTGTAGAAGAGTCTAAGCAGGAAATCATTATAGATACCAATTTCAAGCCATGGATCAACCTGTTTTTTGAATATATCAGGTAGGATGTGGTTAGTGTAATTATTAAATGAGATTGATGAAAAGTTCTTAGCAAACAATTCAGTTTTGTCTTTAGGTAAAGTAATAAACTCTGAACCATGCCACGGCTGTTTCACTCAATATAAATGCGAGCCTGACGTCACGAGTTTATCAAAAAAAAAAGTATTTCCGCATAAAAAGTATAAAAATTCATTAAATTTAAAATAACAGTATTTTTTTTCTATAAATGCTTTCATCTTCAAATAAAAAAAATATAAAAGATCTATCTTTCCTTGTTAAATAAACATTTACATTAAAAGGAATAAAAATGAAAGCTGTAAAAATATTGTTAATAATTTGGCATCACTTTTCTGATTTTTGCGATTTTTACGCAAAACCTGTCTTAGGCCAACTAAGATTTGATAACATAGCTACATGGTCGATGGTTGAAATTTAGAACAGTTATTAATGAATGTCTGTTCTATCTAGATTTCCACAGACTTTGCAAGTTTTTATATAGAAAGTTAGTTTTTAATGCATTTATATTTTTGTTTTTATTCGTTTTGAATAAAAAACATAACATTTTTGAAAAGTCTGTGGATTTAGTAATACTTCAACCTTATATGAATAAGAAAATCAAAAAATTATTTTCTGTACCTCTAGCTATGTTATCAAATATGTTTTCAAACTTGGCATGTTTAGCGACATTTTTTTTAGTTTTTTTTGCATAAAATCTTGTTTACATTTTAAAGCGGTGACGCAAACTCTGATCGTTACGTCCCCAACGATTATCGGATGCATTTTAAGAAAACAAACAAAACAAACGAGACACATTTTATAGAATAAATAACAAAGTTTCGCGGATTAATTTCTCTTGGATATTTGACTAATTTCAGATAAGTTGATTAATCCGATTTTATCTAGTGCATCTATTTGTCAATATTATTCTATTTAAGTTGTTTGTATTATAATTTTATTACTATATCAATAAAGATTATAAAGCAAAGTTTCGTGGATTATTTCCTCGTGGATATTCGACTAATCTCAGATAAGTTGCTTAATTCTTTTATTTTTAGTGTATTTATTTGTAAATATTATTTTATTTAATTTCTTTTATTATATTATTATTATAATATCATTATCATTATTTATGTGATGTATGCAACTGAGAGGGAAATTTTGAAACTGTACATCGGTTGGGAAGATGGTTGGGAAAATGAGTATAACTTTAATTTTGTAAAGCGAGTAATTGACACTAGTAAGATTACTAACAATGTGATTTCAATTTTATTAACAGTTTTTCATCCAAAAGCGTTGTTTACTTTTTTAAGTTTTCTTTTGCCAATTGAGTTTAATATGCCTAATATTGATGTGTTAAATAAAATGTGCCGAAAAATAAAACAAAGAAAAAAAGATTCTAAAAAGTATTTTGAAGCTTCAAAAAACAAAGCATTTTTTAAAATGCAACTGTCTCCAGCTCCACAAACAAAAAAACAAAAAAAATCAGCAGATGCAGATAATTTTTATATTTTAAATAGGAATAAAGAACTAAGTAGTCAAGTTGAACAATTAATTTCTAAAGAAAAAAATAATGTGGAGCAAATAGATAATTTAAAAATACAGGTATCAAAGTTGGAAACTGAAGTTATATATTTAAATTCTAAAAACAAGGCTCTCAACGCACATTGTAACTCATTAAGTTCTCAATTAGAGACTATGAGTATTAGGCTAAAACAGGAGGAGCAGTTCCAACTTTTAAAAAAAAAAAAATTAAAAACAGCACACCGTAAATTTGCATCTGCTCGTGCCAAAAATGTAAGATTGCTAAAAAAATTTAAATTTGAAAAAAAAAATGCAAAAATCAGTGATATAAACAAGAACAGTTGCCAAATTTGCAAATATTTTGCTAGCAGTGATAAGGATTTAGTTGTCGTTGATTCTTATTTAGACTATGACAACATTGGTTCCTCTGAATTATTCTGTGGGTTTAAATTAAGTAATCCACAGACTATATCAGTTAAAAAGCCAATAGTTGGTAAGAAATATACTTACATTAAGTTAGGAGATGGTAAATCTTATTCTAAGTTAGGTAGGCATGCTGCAGCTAGACGATCTAAACTTGCTTTTATATTCCTTCGATTATTAGCTTGTTCAGATTTAGAAAGTGATTTGTCTATGTTGTTTTGTGATTCTGTGTTTTGTGAAAAGTCTATGTTTCATTGTGTTGCAAATAAGTTGGGTTTAGTTAGGCAGTTAAGTGTTTCTGATGCTGTAGAGCTGCAGAGCCAATTAAGGATGCCCACGGCTGAATTCCGTAGGCTAAGACGTATTCTGTGTAATCTTGGTGCAAGGATTCTCCCATCTGAGCCCAAGATAAGACAAGAACAAGAAATGCGGACAATGCATGTTAGTAAAGAACATGTTACTGTAAAGTCCATGTTGCTTTATCCATCTGCGAATGAAGCACCTTGTTTAGTACCTGTATTGATGGTCAAGAATTTGATAACTTATATTGAAGAGGTTTTCAATAGTCTGCACGTTCGTGACCACTTCAATTCTGATGTCGGTTTTTGCGAAGAGGTATGGCTCCTTTTTGCTGGGGATAAGGGTGGGAAGTATATGAAATTCCATTTTGAAGTTGTCAATTCTAAATCATCAGGGTCTGTATATGATGTTCATTTATTTTGTATGTATCAGGGTTCAGACTGTCGTGAGAATATTGCCTTAGTTCTCGGGCATTATGCCAACGACATTAAAAGAATTCAGTCGTCAGATTTTAAGCTAAAAGGCAAAATAGTCAGGTTGTTCTTAGGTGGAGATTTTCATTTTATCGATGATGTTCTGGGACACCAGGGTTCAGCTGCTAGCTTTCCTAGTTCTACAGACCTAGTTAAGTTGAATTCTCTAAGAAACCATGCTTCTATGCCTCACACACCTGCTAATTGTAACATCTTAAGGAGGACAATACAATCTCTGGAAAGTGCTTACAATGAGAACTTGTGTGAAGATAGACAAGGTGGAAACCTAAGAGCTCTAGGTAAGTTTCATAATTCAATTATTGCTCCTGTGATTTTCCCCATAATAACTTTAGATAATGTAGTGCCACCTGTTTTGCATATTATGTTAGGAGTTGTGTTAAAACTTTATAAGTTATTGTTGAAGGAGTGTAAGACTTTGGATTGTCAAGCTGTTTCGTCTTTGTCGCATAATGAGAATGTGAGAACGAATGAATTGTGGGCTGCTAAAAGCTTTGAATGTTCTAAAACAGCAGACTCTTTACGTTTATTAGGAAATCAATTTGTAGACGTTGCAAATCTACAGACTCGTTGGTTAGCTTTTGATAAAAATATTTCTGAATTGGAATGCATATCTCTAAACTCCTCCAATAAAAAAAAAACCTGTAAACAGCAAGAAAAGTGTGCTAGTATCAGGTGTTTAATTACTAAATATGATTGTAACATTGATTGGGTGCAGTGTGGTACGTGCCAAAAATTGTTCCATCAATTTTGTGAAATTATTGGTGGTTCGGAAAAGAATGTATTGTGTGATATAGAGAAGTATGAGTGTTTAGCATGTCAGGGTGAAGATTTAGAATGTCTTGACCTTTATATTTCTGAAAAAATTTCTTTTATACGCGCACAGCGCGAAGTTTTAGACGTTGAGTATATTCGATTGCAGATAGAGTGTGAAGACCTAGAAAAAATATCTATAAGTAGCATGGGGACTCATGAGAGGTCTCTTTATAAGGCCCTTGAAGATATGAAAGTTGAGCGACAAGCTTACCATGGTAATGTATTTGTAGGTAATCATTGTAAAATAGTATTAAGAAACCACTATAAACTTTGTAGTGTTATTGATGATGAAGCAATTAAAAATAGATTTGTACGTGTGTTTAGTGTTTTTA